GGGTCGGAGAGCGAGCGCTGAAGGCAGGGTCTCCTAGGCCTGGAGGCTCGCTGCGCTCCTGGAGTGCAGGGTGGGGTGACTCCGTATCCCAAGGGGACTGAAGTGGGGGCGCCCCTTCTCTCGACCCCAGAGCTGGATTCCCAGGATCTTCAAGAAGAAGACCTGTACCACTTTCATCGTTGACCTCGCAGATCCGGGGTGAGGACCTTGACCCCAGTGACCGACCAGGAAGGCACCCCCCACCCAAACTCTCCACCCACTGTGCTGGCCCCTCCCCCGCCCGGCCCCTCCCCTCCTCCCTATTCCTGTCACTGTGGGCACTCCCAAGGCGTTCCCTGTGGGTTTGGGACTGTCACTCCGTGCCCTCCAAGAGCCCCACGCCTAGCCAGCCTCTGGGACCGTGTAGATCTGGGCCCTGGGGAGGGGGGTGGAGGTCCTTAGCTGTCAATCTTTACCAAACCCAAGCGCAGGGGTCTTTGGTCCTCAAAGTCACTGGTGAGTTTTAACCAGAGACCGCTCGCTCTGCAGTCCCGTCCCCCCACCCTTCCAGCTCCCTTGCGCTTAATCCGCAGCGGGTCACCGGCTCCAGCTGCTCCTTTGGGGGCCGGGCAGACAACCCCCGTCCCTAATCCGCTCGCTCAGGTGCTCCCGGGCTCCGTCTAGACCTGCCTTTCCCCTCGGGCTTCCTGTCTCTGTCCGTCTTATTCACCCGCGTACCCTGCAGGAGCTGCGGGCCCAGCCAGGGTTCAAGTCCCGCGCGTGCTCCCACCCCCACCCTCTGCTGTGTGCCTTCTGGCAAATCCTCTGGCCTCTCTGGGCCTCACACACAGGTTACCGTGCGAGTTAGACACGCTTACAAGGAGCAGGGCCGGGCACCCCAGCGCTCCAGTCACGGCACCACCAGGCCTTCATAAACTCCGAGAAACTAAAAGCTCAGACCACACTCCCTGCCATGGAGTCGAGGCTGACGCCTATAGCTCCATAGGACAAGGTAGAACTGCCCCTGTGGGTTTCGGAGACGGGCCACTCTTGGTGGAAAACCTCATCTTTCTCCCAAGGAGGTCTGGTGTCTTACCGCGGGCATATCGGCTTAGTGCACCAACCGAACGCCCAAATTTTATTATTGGGCGTTAATACATCACATCATTCCATAGTTCAGTCACACCGAGCAGTATCATACGATTGCTTCCACATCAGTTCCACACTTTTTTTTCTTCCTGGGCTTCTTTTTTTTTTCCCCCACCAAGTTTTCTTTTCTTTTTTTTAGATGGTTTTATTGGGGGCTCTGACAGCTCTTATCACCATCCATCCATCCATCCATTGTGTCAAGCACATTCATACATAGGTTGCCATCATCATTTTCAAAACATTTTCTTTCTACTTGAGCCCTTGATATTAGCCCCTCCATCCCTCATGAACCCTTGATAATTTATAAATCCCACTCTTGCACCAACCGCTGTCTCTCTTCACCCATTTTTCCGCTGTCTGTCCCCCTAGGAAGAGGTTCTATGTAGATAATTGTGATTGGTTCCTCTTTTCTCCCCCACCTCTTCCCCTTCCCTTCCTGGTATCTCTATTCTCATTATTGGTCCTGAGGGGTTTATCTGTCCTGGATTCCCTGTGTTGTGAGCTTTTATCTGTAGCAGTGTACATGCTCTGGTTTAGCCAGATTGTAAGGTCGAATTGGGATCATGTTGGGGGTAGGGGGAAGCATTTAATGAACTAGGGGAAAATTTTGTGTTTCTTCAGTGCTACACTGCACCCTGACTGGCTAGCCTCTTCCTGGTCCCACCGAGTTTTTGATGGTCGATGGTTTAAGGGAAGGTAGATTACTTAGAAGAGCCCTGTGGTGAAGTGTGGGCTAAACCTTGGGCTGTTAAGCGAGAGGTCAGCGGTTGGAACCCTCCATGGAAGACAGATGGGGCAGTGGGGTTGTGTTGGGACTGGCAGCCTGGGAAGCCCAGGGGATCAGTTAGTTCTACTGACCCGCACGGAGCTGCACCGAGTTGGGATGGAGTGGACTTGAGGACCATCGTGTTCAGTTCCCAGGCCTTTCTTTCAAGGCACCTGGATCTTTTCCTACTAGCAGTCGAGCGCCCCCTTTTGTGCACCCCTAGAACTTCTGGTGTGAGCGCCCTCTTTTGTGTGCCCTCAGAACTGCTGGTATAGGATAGCTTTGGAGGGATCTGGATTACGAACGCATCCGTTTGGTGGTGGTGGCGGTGTGCGTCAAGTCCGTTCGACGGCGAGTGTCCCCCAACCAGAGGGTTTCTCAGGCTGTCATCTTGGCGATTAGGAGGAAGGAACAGGACCGGGCAGTGTTTCCTTCTATTGTGTTCTGTTGCTGCGACGGATGGCAACCCACTTGATGGCCCCTAACCACCACCACCACCACCACCACCGCCACAAGCAGTCATCTTTTCAGGAGGGTCGATGATCCACGGCGACCTTTCAGTCCGCGGCTGAGCACTTTCAAGCACCTCAGGAGATGAGGGCCTGAGTGTTTTCACTGATGGGAGAGGGGTGGGCAGAGAAGTTGCGAGTCCCCTGGTCTGCACCTGACAACAACATTATGAATTGACAACAGGGAGCCGCCGGGTGGTGCAGTGGATGAAGCGCTGGCCTACTAACCAAGAGATCATTAGTTTGAATCCACCAGCTGCTTTGTGGGAGGAAGATGAGGCCGTGTGCTTCAGAGTGACAGCCTCCAAAAACACACACACAAAAAACAAAGATTGACAGTCTCAAAAAAAAGGTTGAGTCTCCAAGAAAAGATTGACAGTCTCAAAACAAAAGAGATTGACAGTTTCAAAACAAAAAAGAGAGAAAGATTGACTGTCTCAAAAAAAGTAGATTGACAGTCTCAAAAAGAAAAAAACATGAAAAGCCCCAAAAAAAAAAAAAAAATATTGACAGTCTCAAAAAAAGATCGACAGTCTCAAAATAAAGGATTGACAGTTAAAAAAAAAGATTGTCTCAAAAAAAAAGATTGACAGTCTCAAAAAAAGATTGACAGTCTAAAACAGCGATTGACAGTCTCAAAAAGAAAAAAAGATTGACAGCCTCAAAAAAAATCGAGTCTCAAAAAAGGAAAGATTGACCGTCTTAAAAAAAAAAAAAAAAGATTGACAGTCTCGGAAACTCACAAGGGCAGTTGTACTCTGTCCTGTAGGGTCAGGTTCACTGAGCTGTGATTGACATGCCGGCAGCAGGTTGGGCTGGATTTTCTTCGTCAGTTGCATCACGTGGACTCTGATACACACGGATCTCAATGCAAGCGGTCTCCCACAGCAGCATGGCTCATTGCTGAGCCCCAAGCCACATGCATCCTCACTGGGGTCGCTGCATTGTGGCAGCTCTGGTGCAGGCTGAGGTCCAGCCGGCTGAGAGGGCTCATCTTCCAGCGCTAGTCTCTTGTCACTTGCTCCATGTTCCTTGGCTGGATTTCAGAAGCAGATCATCAGACACACTCCGGGTACCTCTCAGGAGAACTTCCTCCCTCCTCCAAAAAACCCAACGGCCTTACATTATTTCGCGTTAAACTCTCGATGCGGAAGCATACAAACCAAGGAAGAAACCAGATGGTTTGCCAACGCAAGTTCAATGGATCAGATGGTGGCAAAAGTCTTCATCCAACTCAGCATGACAGACCTCTAGTGAGCCTGGGCAAATGCTGCCCTGTGTGCCATCCCTCAGGGGGCTCCTTGCCGACCCAGCTTGGTTCTACTCCAGTGTCTTCTCTTGGAGTTGAACCTGATCTTATTTCCGGTTTTCAATTCGAATCCACTGGGGAATGGGCCGATTCTGCTTCCGTTACTTGGCCAGGAATCTCTTGACCCTGAAAGTCTTATGAGATAACAGGGCGAAGTCGGAAAATACCACACTCAGGATGGCGGAGACACTGAGAGAGGGAATGCTTTTCACAGAACTTTCTCTGTCTCTCTCTCTCTCTCTCTCTCTGTCTCTCTCTCTCTCTTTCTCTCTGGAAGTCTACTTAGTCTGGAAGCATCCTTGAATTGGCCCTGTGGTTGGTGCCAGGGACCATCGTGTCTGGTTGGACTCCCAGTGACCTTGTGCAGAAGGAAACAGCCCCGTCTTGCGCCGTCTGCACATTGCTCCCTTGCCGGAGCCCAAGGCTGCAGCCACTGTGTCCATCCATCGTGTGCAAGGCCTTCCTCTTTTCCTGCTGTCTTTCCACTCTACCAAGCAGGAAGTCCTTCTCCAGGGACTGATCTCTCCCGACCACAGGTCCCAAGGACGTGAGATGGAGTCCCGCCATCCTTGCCTTGAAAGAGCCCTCTGGTCCCTACTTCTTTCAAAACGGAACTGCTTGTTCTTTTGGCAGTCGGTGGGACTTTCCGTATTGCTCGCCGGCACTGTCCTGCAAAGGCACCGGTTGGCCTTTTTCATGTGCTACTTCCACAGGCCTAGGAGGGGCTTGAAAGGCCCTTGGCTCTGGTCAGGTGCCCCTTAGTCCTCTGAGTAACCTCCTTGCTTCTCAACACTCAACACTCTTGTGCAGCAGATTGACCCCAGGCAACGCACCATTTGCTCTCTTGCCGGTTGCTGCCACGAGCATCGATTGTAGATCCAAGCCAGACGAAATCCTTGACAACGTCAATCTCCTCGCCCTTGGTCACGATGTCACCTACTGGCCCATTTGTAAGGATTTGGGGCTTCTCCACGCTGAGTTGTCCTCCACACTGATGACGTACTTCCTCAGCAAGTCCTTCAGGCCTCTCACTTTCAGCAAGCAAGGTGGTGTCACCTGCAGATCGCCGGAGGTTAATAAGCCGTCCTCCGATCCTGGAGGCACGTTCTTTGCCATCAGATAACCTGGCTTCTCTGATGATTTGCTCGGCATACAGATTGAGTAACAGTAGTGAGAGGATACATCCCCGACGCACACCTGCCTTGATTTCAAACCAGGTGTTTGAAATACCACGGACATTGCTTCCAGCAGCACACAAGCCACCACCGTAGGACAAACTGACAGACATGTGGTGGATAGGTGACCCAACTGGGATGCCTTTGAAACACCAGTGGCAAAGCTCCCAGCATCCTAGAGCCACGTCAGCCTCCACGGGTGTGACCAGCAGTCAGAAGGGGCTGGTCCTTCCATAGATGCTTCGTAAACCCATGGAGCAGACAGTGCGATTGTTTTCTTTGGTTTAAGGAGGAGATTTAGGCTCAAAGAACTGTAGCCATGTAACTCATCCAAAGAGAGTCTTAGATCTCTGCCCCTCTTTGTGGGCCTCTGTCCTCTCTCCCTGGGTTTCTGTCTCCCTCTCTCTGTATCTCTGTACCCCTTTCTCTGGATCTCTGTCCTCATCTCTGGGTCTCTGGGTCCCTCTCTCTCAGGTTCCTGTCTTCCTCTCTTTGGGTCTCCGCGTGCCCTGCCCCCTTAGAGTTCTCCTCTGTGGGTCTCTGTCCCCCTTTCTGGGTCTCCGACTCTCTCAGCCTCCATTCCCGCCCCCCTCTTGGGGTTTCTGTCCCCACCCCCTCGGGGCCTTTCCCCTCTCTCTCTGGATCCACCACGGTCAGCATGGGGGTGTAGCTATCCCTGGGGGAACAGGGTTAGTGTAGACAGCCCCCTCTACCAAACCCACACACTTCTATCAGAGGTTTGGGGTTTGGAGGTGAGGACCCTGGGTTTCATGCTCCCTCCCCGCCCTCCAGAGGGACCCTTTGCCAGTGTGGGCACCCCCGAAACACACACCCGTCAGTGGCTGTGGAGGACGCGTTCGGGGCAGCTGTGGTGACAGAGTGGGATGGTGACGCGCATACCACCGAGAAGCCCACCGATGCCTACGGGGACCTGGATTTCCTGTACGCCGGCCGCAAGGCCAGTAATGTGAGGCTGCGTGGCTGGGAGACTGGGGGTCGATTGAGCATGCATCAGGGTACCCGGGGTCAGGTCTGGGCGCCTCAGCTGAACCCTGTCTCTCCACTGGCCCCTCCCTGTGTCGCTCCCGGGGATTCTGCCTGACCCGTTCTCTGGGTCTGTCTCTCTGTCTCGGAATCTCTGGCTCTTTCTCCCTCTCTCTCTCTGTCTCCATCCCATGACTCTGGGTCTCTATGTCCCTCTCTCTGGGTCTCTGTCCTCTTGCCTTTGAGTCTCTGTCTCTGTTTCTATCCTTCACTCTCTGTCTCCATCCCTATCTCTCTGGGTCTCTGTTCCCCTATCTCTGAATCTCTATCCTCTGGGTTTGGGTCTCTGTCCCCTTCTCTCTCTGGGTCTCTGTCCCTCTCCTCTCTGGGTCTCTGTCCTCCCCCTCTCTGGGTCTCTTCCTCCCCTCTGGGTCTCTGTCCCCCTGTCTCTGGGTCTCTGTCCCCCTGTCTCTGGGTCTCTGTTTGTCTCTGGGTCTCTGTCCCCCTCCTTCTGTGTCTCCCCCATGTGTGTCCGCAGTTCCTCCGTCTCTCTGACCGCACGGACCCAGCAGCGGCCTATAATCTGGTCACGAGCACCTGGGGCTTCCGTCCCCCGAACCTGGTGGTGTCGGTGCTGGGGGGCTCCGGGGACCCAGTTCTCCAGACCTGGCTGCAGGACCTGCTGCGTCGCGGGCTGGTGCGGGCTGCCCAGAGCACAGGTGACCAGGGCCAGGGCGAATGGCTGCCGTGGGGGCTGTCTCTTCCCCCTGGGCCTCAGCGCCTGTCTTCGCCGTGGTAATTCTCTCTCGGGTTCATCTCGCCACGTCCCTGCCTGGCTCTGCGTCCGGCACCAGCTCTGCCTCTCTCTGCAGGCGCCTGGATTGTCACAGGTGGGCTGCACCAGGGCATCGGGCGGCATGTTGGCGTGGCCGTGCGAGACCACCAGACGGCCAGCACTGGGGGGAGCAAGGTGATAGCCATGGGCGTGGCCCCATGGGGAGTGGTCCGGAACAGAGACACCCTTGTCAATGCCAAGGTGGGACCAAGGGGCTGGAGTGAGTGGGTGGGGCGGGAGGGGAACTCCTGGGTCTGAGGGAGGAGGGGATGGGGGTCAGGACTCCTGGTCTGAGGGAGGAGGGCTGGGGGCTCAACGCCTAGGTCTGAGTGGGGAGGGGTCAGGGGGTTGGACTCCTGGGTCTGAGGGGCCCCTATTCTCAGGTCTGAAGGAGGAGGGTCTGAGGGAGGGACGCAGGGGACAGCCCTGGGCTGGGGCCTGGGACCCTGAGACTAAGAGAGGAGGGGATGGGGGTCAGGACTCCTGGTCTGAGGGAGGAGGGCTGGGGGCTCAACGCCTAGGTCTGAGTGGGGAGGGGTCAGGGGGTTGGACT